CTTGTAAATTATTTTATGTTGTATAGAAAATATTTAAGGGAAAGTTGCCGAATATGCCTTAGTCACTTAAGGGACTATGCTGGACTTGTCTGTATTACCGACAAAACGCAGTAATTTTTATATTGCTCTCATTCTTTTTTATTAATTTTATAGATCTGAAAATCCTTTTCCACAATTAAAGTTTATGTATACGTGTCTAGTATATAAATTTCGTATCAAAAGCGAGAAAAATTTTTTAAATTTAAACCTTTTTTTACCTTTCAATAGTTTGGTACTTTAAAATGGCGTCCAAAGCTGTCAAGTCGCGTCAATGTTTGTTTTATATAAAAATTTTACAGCCTGTACCTACAAAACTGACATTGTTAGACTAGAAGATTACATGAAGAAACAACGTTGAGTTCTTAGAATTAAGCTAGATACTTAATGTAATGCAAAAAAGCAATACGAAAATTTGTTTATATGTATATCATGTGTGTACAGAAATGTATGTATAAGTGTATGTATGTATATATAAATGTATCTATGTATGTTTAGATGTGTGGACGTTTTTGGTCGGAGTTCTCTCGTCAGAATCCTCTTAAATTACAATAAGGCAATTCCTATAAAGATTTAAATTGTATCAATATTTTGATAAAATTTAAGTTTCCTAAATCATATCGTCATCACGAAAGATTATTTATTATATTTATTATTGTAAAATAGACATTTGATAATAGTAAAGTTGATAACTGACGAAATATGTCAATTGTAAAAACAAATTCAAATCAGTTTTTTTATTTCGACATTTTTATCTATATTTATTATTTATTATTATTAAATATCAAGTCCTTTTTAATAAATAATTTATAAAATAGATTATTAAATTATTTAATAATTCATATTTTTAATTGTTTTCATTCATAAATACGATACTTGCAAAGAATATGATTTAGAAGACCCATAAGTACAATTTAGATGATTGGTTGCCTAACTCCCCTTCCAACTAATGCAGATAACTTTGATCTCTAACTTTAAACTCACTTTCTATCTTTATATCTGTCAATTAGAAGAAGATAAAAAATTAATTGAAGATCAAAATTAATTGTATTGGGGGAAATGGAGATATATCATATTTTTTACAGCATTACAAAAAGACTTGCTACAAATTAATTTATTATTCATAAAAGATTAGATATACAATAATAAGTGATTTGGAAGCTACAATTTTCATTGTTTATTTCTATAAATTAGAACTAATAAGACAGCCATATAATTATTAGCTATTTATTATATAATGATAATCATAATAAAAAATAGTTTAAATGATATGCATTTGGTAACTTTCTCCTAAATGTGCATCTTTTCTATTTGAACATCAACATTTTTTTCTTTACAGTTTTTTAAGAATATTTAAAAAGATCCTTTAAATATTTTGATATTTAAAGACTTATATTAAAATTTAAAGTTATATAATATAAGATAGTATAACATGTACTTGTTGTGCAAATCTACATAATTAAAATGATTTTTTGTAATCTTTTATAGTAATATTAAAGAAATAGAAATGTATTCATGAAGTATTAAGTATTAAAATCCTGTCAAATGACCTCATATTGAAAATATTTAAGGATTAATATTTATTATTATTTTTCAAACGAGATCAAGCTAATCTTTCCTCTATCAACAGCTTGTAATCATAAATATAAAACCAGTTTAAATATAAATATAATAAATATAAAGACAGATCCAAAATTTAGCTTGAAAACAGACTCACGTATATAAAACAAAAAAAATTAATATTTTAAAAATCATAAATTATTTTAAAATAATCTTTAATTTCTTAAAATATCTGATTTCTGAAGAGAGGAAAGAGAAATGCTTATTTCTCTTCTATGTAGACGCCTCGCGCCTCCAAAGAAAATCCACCATAAATATAAAATAATAGTATACTTTCTGTATACTATTTAAAATTTTATTACAATTCTTCTTGTCTTAGTTGCAAAAATCTTTTAAATTTACAAAAAGGCAACCGATATAAATGCGGTAGGTACTCACGTTAATCCTGAAGTGCGCCAAGTCTGTGTCGAAAAGGATGACTCTAGTCTGCCGTACTCTCTATTTGACTGTGATTGCTGGCATTGCTGCTGGCGGTGATGCCGGTGGCGGTGCCGTTGCTGTTCGCGGTGCTGTCACCGTTGTTACGTTGCTGGACGCTGCCGCCGTTAACGACGCCAATCGATTCGCATTGCTGGGACGTTGCCTTACCACGTGACACGACGGCGGCATCGCAGCGACGGACGATGTGCTTGGAACCGCGTCCACAACCACTGTCGTTGCTCCTCGCCATGCTTGGCGTTGCTCACAACTGCATCAAAGAAAAAAAAAGCAAAGTCGTTACTCCTTCCAACCAATTATTTTTTGTTTTGGTCTGGATTTCATCCATTTCTATTTTTTTTAAGAAAATGACACTACATGTACGTATACATGAGCTTATTGATTTTAATTTTTTCAATCTTGAAACTTATAGAGAAGGATCAAGAGCTTGAAATAATAATTTTTTTCATCCGGTATTCTCATTTTCAGTAAAATTTTTTTGTTTCTGGATAATTTATAGGGACACTTTGCATTTTCTATTTTTTAAAAATACCGAATATTGAAATTATTTTTCTGTTATATTAATTTTTACAAACACATTTTAAAAAAATCATATGTTTGAAGATTAAATTTCATAACTTAACAGCCTTACTATTTTTAAATAGTTACTTAGAATACAAAAAAATTACATTTATTCTTTTATTAAAATTATTCTATAATATAGTCGATTATAAATAATTTAAAGAAACTTGGCAAATAATATTTAGATTCTAATAAAATGCATATCCAAGCGCAATAAATAAATTTGGAGATTTTCCAGTATTATAGCTAAAAAAGCTTTAGGCGATAAACTATCCGTTACAAACAATTCCTTTGTTATAACTCGTAAAGCATTGAATATCGTGAAATACTTCATAGAAAAAAAATATTACTTTATGAAAACAATTCTTTCAATTTACTGAGCTTGTTAAACGTATCAAAATGTCAAAGTATAAAAACAAAAACAATGTAAATCAAAGAAACAATCGTGGCGATTTTCATTATTATGTGTATACTTTGGGTACGGTATTCGCTATTTTAACGGTGTAATTACTATATGTAAATTAATGTATATCTAAAGAAAAATATAGAGACAGAGAGAGAGAGAGAGAGAGAGAGAGAGAGAGGG